CCTTAACTTTGAGGAGTTTTCCTTTTTGCCAGGGTGAATTGCCACTGTTTGATGAACTGTTGCCTTTCCTAACCAAGAAATCTCTCATTATCGAATCAAATCTTTATCAATTTTGATGGTACCCATTGCTTTTTTTCTGTGGAAGCAAAACTGCTCCCCCAACATAACACATATCCTGGTTTCCATTCTGACATTAACACATCTTTAAAATATATAGGCCGATTTAGTTCAGAGATTTTTTTTCTATTATCCAATGTCTCTCTGTAGTTCCTTTTTCATTATCATTTAAAATTTAAAGTTAATAAAGCACTGTGCAATCTATCTCTAAAAGTCTTAATATACTTTTCTATTTATTAAACATATATTTTAAAGTGCATTTACATCTTTCTATAACTTCTTGTCTTGTAGGATCATGTGGTATACCTATAATGTGCTTTATGTTGTAATGTGAAAAAAAATTCATTTTACTGGAGACATATGTTGAAAAAATTGTCAGTCAATTTGTACAGGTATTCTGTTAATGGCCATAACCTCTAATAAGTGTGTGATTATAGAATCAGCCTTTTTAAAACTCAATGCAGTTGCCCATTGAAATCCTGAATATCTGTGGTATGGTTCACATACATTAATTTTGTAAGCTCCTCAAAATGAAACACATTCATTTGCCAAATTTCATTTTTTTTTTTTTTTTTTTTTGAGTACCCTTAAGGATACTTCCTGCAGGGAACAAGTAGAACATTTTCTTATAATTTCCTTGGCTTCTTGCCAAGTGATAGAAAAACATCTTTCTTTAAACCTTTGCTATTAACTTGGTGTTTCTTATGAAATTCTAAGGCTTCTAGTACATTTCCTACCAATAGCTGATCAATTTCATCACTACCTACCTTGTGCTAGTGAGCCTGGTGGGCCTGTATGGGATCTATGTTATATATAAGTCATGATTTTTATTTCCTGAAATTTAAACAAAAGTTAATTTTATACCATGAGAATGTTATACAATTCTGACTTTTGATTGGATTTATAAGGACTTTGAGCTGCTTTACTTACGTTCCCTAACTTATAACCTGTCTTTCCTGATTTATTTGCATCAGAATGTAGGGGCTCCAGACATTGGTGTCTCCCACACAGTGTGAGGAAGGACCAATTGGTTCTTTTTATAAATTGAAGTCTCTTGCATTTGGGATATTTGCCATTGATTTCTCCCAGAAAATTGCAAGCTCTTTATCCGTGTTCATTTTCTGCTCATAATGAGGACTTTTAGCATTAGTAAAAGGTACTATAATTTGTGTTGAGTTCATTCCTGTTAATTGGAAAAGTCTCAATTTTCCTTTCAGAATCGATATATAACCCTTTTCTACATAGATACTTAAATCAGGCATAGAAACAGAATTGATAGTAATCTGCATCTTTTATAATAAAAGCATTGAACAAACTAGGATTTTTGTTGTTGTTTGAGACAGGGTTTCTCTGCGTAGCCCTGCCAGTCTTGGAATGCACTCCATAGACCAGGCTGCCTCTAAACTCACACATCCTGCCTCACACACCTGCCACCTCTGCCCAGCGAGGTGATGTCATCTTGTATATAGAAAATTCTGAGGAATTGACGTAAACACAAATAAGAAACATTGCTAGAGCTAATAAATGAGATTGGCAAGGTTCGTAGGTACTATATAGGCTGAGAGAGTATCCCTCCATGGGGGAATGGGCTCCCAAAATTCATATGTGCACTAGGAATAAATGCTGGTTCCACCACAAGAGGCCCCATAAACTGCTCAGGCCTCCTAACTGTCACCCAAGTTCAGGGGCCTGGTTCAGTCCTATGCTGGTTCCCAGCTGTCTGGCTGGGGTCCATGAGCTCCCACTTGCTCAGGTCAGCTGTTTCTGTGGGTTTCCCCAGAATGGTCTTGACCATTTTGTTCATCACTCCTTCCTCCCTGAAACTGGATTCTAGGGGTTCAGTTCAGTGCTTGTCTGTGGTTCTCTGCTTCTGCTTCCAGCAGCTACTGGATGAAGGCTTTAGGATGGCAGTTAAGGTAGTCATCAGTCTCATAGGGGAAGGGCATTTAAGGTATCCCCATCCCGCATTGCTTAGATTCTTAGCTCATGTAATCTTTGTAGATTTTTGGACATTTTCTTAGTGCCAGATTTCTCTTTAATGCTATAATGGCTCCCTCTATTTTGGTATGTCTTTTCTTATTCTCCTCTATTTATCCCCCAACTCAATCTTCCTGATCCTTCATGTTCTTCTCCCTCCTCTTCTCCCCTCCCTTTTCTCCTACCTCCCTTCCTCTCCATTTATATTTTCATCAAAATAATTAAAATGCTTAGATACAGCAGAATAAATACATTTATATATTTAACAATGAAACATTGAAAAATGTTCATGTATCATGTCTCAAAAAACAATATTGCTAACATGGTCATACTCAGGAAATTGCTATATGTTTTCAATATATTCCCCATAAAATTGATTTGCTTCTTTTGTAGAAAAAAGTAAACCGAGTCTAGGCTCCATATGTATATTTAAAGGGCCCCCAAATAATTGTGGTATTCCTGCGGGGTGGCAGGGGGAGAATTCACACTCGTAACCGCAGAGTTACAATAATCAAGACATTGTGGTTCTTTTTTTTTTTTTTTTTTTTTTTGGTTTCTCTGTGGTTTTGGAGGCTGCCCTGGAACTAGGTCTTGTAGACCAGGCTGGTCTTGAACTCACAGAGATCTGCCTGCCTCTGCCTCCCGAGTGCTGGGATTAAAGGCCTGCGCCACCACCACCGGGCTGACGTTGTGGTTCTTTAAGAATAGATACACAAGTCAGTGGCATATAATGAGAATCAGAAGTAAACCAATAAGCTTATAGTCAATTGACTTATTGTAAGGCCACCAAGACCACCCAGAACGAGAAGTCATAGTCTTTTCAACAAATGATCCTGGAATAAGTAGAAATCCACATGTTAAAAAGAAGAAGAATGGTGCTCTTGCCTCACACCACAAGTAAAAAGTAAACTCCAAATGGATGTTGACCAAAACAAAATGGCCAAAAGTATACAGCTTTCTTTATTACATATTCTAGTTATCAGACTGTAAGGAACGTTTATGACTCACAATACAAACCCTGAAATTAAAAATAAAGTCACATTTGTTTGATGTATTTAAGTGTTTTGCCTGTATGGTGCACACATTCAGAAGAGAGTGTTGTACCTCTTGCAACATTAGTTGGGGTGTTTGTGAGTCATCATGTGAGTTCTGGGAATCAAAACAGGGTCCTCTGTAAGAGCATGCTTTTTACTGCTGAGCTGTTGCTGGTGGTTTTCCTTACCATCAGGTCCCGCTGCCTTTCTTACTGCCAAATAAGCACACAGATGCTATATTAATTATAACATGGCTGGCCGATGACTAGGGGTTCTTATTAGCTAGCTCTGCCTTAATTATTAACCCATTTCTATAAATCTATGTATTTCCACATGGTCTTGGCTTAGTGGAGAATGCCCAGACCTTTATCTCCTTTGGTGGCTACATGTCGTCTGGTCTCTGGCAGGCTCTCCTGCCTACCTTTCCCAGAATTCTCATTTCCCAGTCTCGCCTATCTTCCTGTCTCATTGGTCATACAGTGTTTTATTCATCAACCAATAAGAGAAACATATATACAGAAGGACATCCCCATCAGCTGAGCTATCTTTGCAGCCCTAAAATTATATTGTGTGTGTGTGTGTGTGTGTGTGTGTGTGTGTGTGTGTGTGTGTGTGTGTGTGTTGTCTGCATGTATATCTGTATACCAACTGTGTTCATGGTGCCTGTGGAGGTGATACTATTTCACCCATGGATATACCTTATTATGCTGTTCATTGTTGTAGCTCACAGCATTTACAATTTGCTAAGATTGTGTGTAACTTTCTCTCTGAGAAGCTTACCTGTACCTTCTGCTACTGTGAAAGCATATTAGTCAGGTGGAAGCTTTCTGGTCAGTATCAACTTCATTTCTCCGTGTCCTGTAACCAGAATGTGTGGTATCTGTTTCTGTGTGTACATAGTTCAGTAATGTGAAGTACATTTACCCTGTTATATAAACAATATCTAGAACCTTTATCTTGCAGAAGGAAAGCATGGACATCAGTGGTCTGATCTGCTTTCTGTCCCACACATATTAATCACTCTTCTACTTTAAACCATTTTCAGTTTTACTACCCACATATAATCCATAGGTGAAATTAATTATTTTGGGATTGGCTTATTTTATCCAATGTAATGTCCTTAATAATCATCCATGTTGTAGAATGAGTCAAAATTGCTTTTCTAATGTTTTAACGTTAATTAACTTTTCATTGCTAGGGATTGAACTCAGGGCAAGTATTATACCACTGGGCTATGTCCTTAGCCCAAGAATATCCTTTTTAAAAGTTTTTTCTTGGGCTAGAGAGGTGACCCATTGGTTAAGAGCACTGACAGTCTTCGAGAGGACCTGGGTTCGACTCTCAGTGCCCATGTGATGGTTCACAACTGTCATAACTCCAGTTTTGGGGGATTTGATGCCCTCTTTGATTTCTGTTAGCACTGCACACATGGTACCCATACATACACAACATAAAATTCTTTTCTTTTATCTCTATCCAGCCATCCATTCATGGACATGGGCTGTTTGTTTTTCATGCTAGGCTTGTGCAGTCCTGGGGACTAAACCTAAACCTAGCTGCATGCTAGACAAATATTCTACCTATCAACTATATCCCAAACACTGCTGTTCTTATTTATGGCTAACAAGAGTGATATGGCAGTAGATGTGGGTGTGTAACTTCTTTGAGATCCTGTTTTCTGTTCTATACAGTTGAGTTTATAAGAACAGATCTAGAAAGCAGGAAGCAGGCTGAATGCTGGAGAGTGGTACTGGGGTGGTACTTAGACGTATTTCATATATTTAAAAATTTTTAGTTGGCTTTGGATTCTTTGTATGATTGGTAAACTGTGAAAAAACTAATTGTCATATATTCGGTTTGTACAATATTTAGAAGTCAGAAGTCCACTTACCAGAGATACCTCTAGCTGTTGTGAAAGAATGTAAAACGAATCTGAAGGGGAATTCCTCCTGTAAGAATGTTTTCGAGGAGTGCACTAGGTAAGTGTTCTATGCTCGGCCTTGCATGTATTGTGGGTGTTTTAGTTTGTTGAGACAGGTTCTTATATAGCCCAAGTGGGCCTCAAACTCACTTTGTAAGCTAAAGTTAGCCTTGAATTTCTGATCCTTTTGCCCCTCTGTCTGAAGTTCTGGGATGGTAAGCATATGTTATATGCTACACCTAGCTTGTGTACATATTATCTATTGGTAACCCAAAGATAGAAGATGACAGGAAGTTTTGTTTTGTTTTGTTTTGTTTTTTCATGAGTTGAGTTTTTTTTTTCTTTAGACGCAGAGTTTTTCTGCTAATAGTCCTGGCTGTTCCTTCACTCACTTTTTGTAGACCAGACTGGCCTTAAACTCAGAGATCTGCCAAAAGGCTTGAGCCACCAACTTTTGAACTCTTTTTTTTGGGGGGGGGGTTTAACAAGGTGAGTTCTTATAGGATAGTAATTAGTATGTAATTTGTATTAGGATGATCCCTTTCAGTAATTTTGTATAGGGTAATGATCACATGTACATAAATGTCACACTGAAGAGGGTCCTGGTATCAAGTTCCAATATCACAGCATTTCTGTGATAACTGTGGGCCATCTTTCTTCTGCTTTTTAAAGTGCTTGTGTCTAGCTTGAAAAGAGTCTAAATATATTTTTCTAGTCTTGCTGAAAGTAGATTTTATCTGGATTTTTTTCAACATGGACAGGGAAGTTTTTAAGTATGACTTTTTTTCTTACTAAATTCAGCTTTCTTATGAACACAGAAAAAAAATTGCTTCTGAAGTAATCTGGTAATAAGGAAGTGTTTTGTGTAGCTGTGTAGATAGTCACTAGTCTCACAGAAAGGAAACTAAGAACTGGAGGAATGTGCAAAAGCTTGTCCTGAGCTATGAGAATATGTAAGTGACATTTTCATTGTGGTTTGAAGATTCCTTTGGTCAGATGTAGTTCATCACTGTATGAAGTGGGCAGTGGCAGAAGGATCATGGTCTGAGGCAGACTTTGACTACATATTAAGACCCTGTCTCTGGGGGCTGGAGAGACAGCTCAGTAGTTAAGAGCACTGGTTGCTCTTCCAGAGGACCTGTGTTGAATTCCCAGTATCCACATGGCTGCTCACCACTGTGTACCCTTCAGTTCCAGGGGACCTAGCTCTCTCACACAGATATAAATGCAGGCTAAATACCAATGCACATTTAAATAAATAAATCTTTTAAAAGGCCTTGTCTCCAAAAGAGCAAACAATAACAAAACCCAGTAATGAAGAACAAAAATAAAAAACAGAAAAACAAAAACAAAAGCAAAATCTTTGCTCCCACTACAATTTAGAGAGCGCTTGGAGAGAGGGAACAGTATGTGCAAGAGCTGCCCTACATGAGTTGGGTGTTATATGACCCACTAACCTATAATTAGGATATACACAACAGCAGTCCATTATAAGACAGGGTTTTCTTTGTAGCCCTGCCTGACTTGAAACTAGCTCTGTAGACTAGGCTGGCCTGGAACTGAGAGCTCCCACTGCCTCTGCCTTTTGAGGGTCCATCACCACCGCCCATGCCCATTGCAATCCATTATCAAATGGATGTGGTATATATGTGTTGGATCCAGGCAGGTCCTGAAGGCACAAGAATGTTACATGAAGAAGGTGTCCAAACACCTATGGTTTCTATTCCCATCACAATGCCATTTACTCCCAAACATGCACCTTTAGCCTCATGTGCTCTCTGATCAGTTGACTGAAAAAGAGTAGACTAAGGCCTGGTTTACTGGTGGCCCTGCATGTTTTGCAGGTACCACCCAGAAGCTATTTCTGGAACATCTCTGAAAGATATTGGCAAAGGGCAATATTCCCAGTGGCAGAACTTTGGGCAGTATCTATGGTCCTACATTTTGTTCACAGGGAGATATGGCCATATGTTTAATTTTTCACTAATTCATGGGCTATAGCCAGTGGATTGACTGGATAGTCAGGGACTCGTAAATTTTTGATAATGATTGGAAAATTGGTGAGAGAGACATTTGGGAAAAAGTATGCGAATCTCTACAGATGAGTGAAGGATATAAAGATACTTGTGTCCCATGTAAATGCTCATTCAAAGATGACTTAAGCAGAGAAAGGGTTCATTAATCAAGTAGATAGGATGGCTTATTGTGTGGATAGTCAGCCTCTTTCCCCAGTCATCCCTACCATTTTCCAAGAACAAAGTAGCCCTAATGGCAGAGATGGAGGTTATGCATGGGCTTGACAACATGAACTTTCACTAACCAAATCTGACCTAGCTACAGCTGCTGCTCAGTGCCAGATCTGCCCAAGATAAGACACTGTTCTCCAGGGTGCCCAGACAGTGACCTGGTGGCAGGTTGACTTTATTGGACACTTTTTCTCTGTAAAGGATAATTTATCTTTACTGGGATAAGCACTTAATCTGGTTATTGATTTGCCTTTCCTGAACATATTGTTTCTGCTAAAACTACCATTCATGGATTTACAGAATAGCTTATCAATATCTTGGCATACCATACAGTATTATTTATGACCAAAAATTTTACTTCTAGAGAAGTGAGACAGTGGACCCACTGTCTTACCATGGTCTCTACCATCCTGAAGCAACTGTCCTGATAGAAGGATGGAATGGCCTGTTGAAGGCACAATTACAGAGGCAATTAGGAGATAGTAGTCTGAGGGACTAGGGCAGGGTTCTCGAGAAGGTGCTGTATGCTTTAAATCAACATCCAATATATGATAAGTTTCTCCCATAGCCAGGATTCATGGGTACAGGAATTAAGAATTAGAAAAGGGAATGGTTCTGCTTACTATCACTCCTAGTGACTCACTAGGAACATTTTTGCTTCATATTCCTGTGACCTTAAGTTCTACTAGCTTAGAAGTTTTGGTTCCAGCGGGGGAAGAGCATCTTCCAGGAGACAGTACAAATACTCCATTGAACTGTGTTACAAGCAGTTTTCCCGCCAGCCTGGTCCTATTGCCAAGTTAGCCCCAAATAACACACAGAGACACTGTATTAGATATAAAGCTGTTGGCCAGTACTAGTGTTTCTTATTGGCTAATTCTTTCTTAAATATTAACCCATTTCTATTAATCTGTTTCCATGTGGTCTTATCTTACCAGAGAGAGAGTCTGGACCTTTTCTTTCAAGACTTTACATGTGAATCTCCTCTACTACATCTCCCAGAATCCTCCTTATCTCCTAGTCCCGCCTATCTTGCTTTCCTATTGGCCAACAGGGCTTTATTCATTAACCAATAAGAGAAACATAATTACAGAATGACATCTCCTATTATTCCCTCTTTCCTGTCTAAATAAAAGGAAGGGTTTTAACTTTAACATAGTAGAATATATGACAAAACATTTATCAAATAAGAACTATTGTTAACAATATTTAGTTCATTAAAGAAAATATTCCATCATCTATCCTGTCTTGTGAGTCTAAAGTCCTATATGTAATTTATCTTTAATCATAACTAAGGAAAACTATAACCATAACTATCTGTCTTAAATTCCATCAAAGACCACAGCAGGATAGTATATAAACTCTAGAAATAACAGAGACAACTTGCTGCCTGGTCTGTCACCCGAAGTTCTTATATAATGTTCCATCTTCAACCTAGAGGCCATAGTGTGTCTGGTAGACTCCTCAGCAGAGCAGGAAACTAAACTGTACACCTGTATTGGCAGTTTGTCAGTAACTTTTCACTGTGTCCTGCAGACGGCAGACTCTTCCATGAAGCAGGAACTCTGTAGCAATGTCCATCTTGTTTCAGCAGTCACTTTTCTGTAGGTCCTGCATGTCCAATTTATACAGCATAAAGTCAAACAGTCCAGGCAAGAGAAGTTTCTTGTCCAAATGGCTAGTCTTGTCATATTGGGAGTAAACTCCATAACGAGTTTCTTTCATGTCCATCTTCCTTTGTGATGCAGGTGGTGTTGCCAGGAGTAGTTGTGCTTCACTGTTAAGAACAACCCTAAACCATTTTAAATGCCATATTCTGTAGGTCTTTGAAAGGTTTGAAGAATGCCTATCCATTTGAAATATATATCTATACATCTAGAAAATCTAACTATAAATTTTGACTATCATAGGTAACTATCTACAATCTGTACTTAATTATACATTATGTTTTAAATGAGCTATATAAACACAATACCTAAACAAGAGGAGAAATATACATATCACAAAACTGACCTTAAATTTGTATCAATAAATGAAAATCCATTCCAAAACAAAGTATTCATATCTATATCATAATCTCCTTTTTACCTTTAAAAAGAGATGGGTTGTGATCATTAACCATTTATAACCAACCCCATTGAAATGAAAACAAACATTTATAGACAATATTTGGGAATTTGGGCATTGTTCTTTCCAAACTGCTTCCTACTAGTAGGGGCCACTGTCTTGGGGATCTTAAGAAGACACAGAAATGTGGCTGTAGTGGTCTGCAAGGCTGCCTTGTCCCAGCTGTTTTGAATGTTGGACCAACTGGGACACTGTTTCAGGGAATCTTGATAGATCAAACCATGTTAGTCTGGAAGGAATCCACAGCTTTTCATTTTCTGTGGAAACAAAAATAGAAATTCTTTTTCCCAGTAACCTGTCCTTTTGAATTCAAAGCATTTTAAAAATATATAAAGTGTAGCATTGATAATCAAATGTATTATAGCTATTGTTCCTTCCTTAGCAATTGAGCAATTTAAAGACAGCACAATAGCATACAGTATTCAGACTCTCTGTATTTTCCATTTTTATGTGGCTTTTTTATTACTCTATTTCTTTTACTTCTATTTTTTCATTAACCAATAAGAGAAACATATTTACAGAATGACATCTCCTATCATAACTGGAAGCTCAGACTTCCCTTGGTCTTTGGTCTTCTAATGTCCTTAAACCAACAGACTAAGAAAGGAATAACTGTGTTGGGAGGGGTGATTGATCAATATTACTGTGAAGAATCTGGATTGCTTACCATTGGATTGCTTCTCCA